AACGATAATACTTGAGTTCTATTCAAAAGCGAGCTAAGGATGTTTATTACCATGAGCACTGCTTTAATATGGTCGAAAGTGAGATCAATAGACGATAATTGATCCTGTTTTTGTTGAAGCAAGATGTCGATGATGTCCTCTTGCTTGGATTTTGCTCTATGTGAACTTAGGTGTTCATCAATGAGCTCTTGGTAGAACGTATCCATTTGCTTAAAACATTTCTCTAGTCGAGAACGTAATCCAGTGACTTTATCAACCCAACCGAACAATGGAAAATAGTCTGACACAAAGAAGCTTCCCATCATTTCTTGAATCTCGTAAAATAGTCCATAGAATCTACTTCTCGTAAACCCTTCATCATCATAACTTTTACCGAAAGCAACTCTGCATATAATGTTGCTTGTGAGAGACATTACTGTCTCACTCAAATTGGTGAGCTTAGATGAAGAGGCTTGTACAGATATTTTCTCAATCATCCTACCAACTTCATCTTCACGAATGGGATGAAAAGATTGCACTCTTTTGGAACTAAACAGATTAAGAGTACAGATCTTTCTCAACTCTCTCCAGTAAGCATTATATGGTGAAAAGACCACATCTAAGCCATTATAAGAGAGTTTTTTGCTGGCCAAGCAAGGAAGGCCTGCTACAAAATGCAAGATCCTGTGTTTTCATTACCTCTTTTGCCAATCTTGCCGAAGAGACCACGATGGTTGGCACAGAACCAAGCCGCAAAGACATAAGGGGCCCATATTCTTTCGAGAGTTGTGACAGATATTGATGAGGGGCTGAGTTATCCATCTGGTGCAAGTTTCCAAGAAAAGGTAGTCCCGGAGGACCTGGTGGATGAAGCATTTCCCCATTTTTTCTGCATTTATGAAGAATTAAATAGAGCAATATTGGTAGAACTAGAACAAAAAGAAGTGACATTATTGATACTTTTGTTTGTGGGTTGCTATGAGTTTTTCTTGTGAAATACTAGTAGGAGTTGAGTACTCCTTAAATAGAACTCTTCCAACCCCAAGTCAGCTCAAGTGTTTATAGGATTGATTTTGTGGATTTGCTCAAGGCGGAGACGTCTTTAGCATAATTCAAGTAGTAAAAATCTATAATATAAAATAAGATAACTTTTAATAAATTCATCTAATTGTACCGTATAAAATGTGGGGTTGTGTTTTGGTTTTGTAGATTTGCTCAAGTCCGAGACGTCTTTAACATAATTCAAGTATCATAAATTTATAATATAAAATAAAATAATTTTTATTAAGTTTATCTAACGATTATTAATATTTTTTAAAAAAATTTAATATTTAATTGTACCGTATCTTCAAGTACAGCTTATCCCTAGTTTTTTAACAAAAACAAAAACACAAAAAATGTCAAATTCATAAAATTACTTTTCAACTAGTATTTAGTTGTTAATTTCTCCATGGACCATCTCCTACCAGCAATACAAGAATCTAATGGGACTTGAATGAATTTAAGTTTGGCATGCAATTCTCGCCACTTCAGTACCCATCAGTTGATGGGATGTGATCATTATTTCATTCAATCGTAGAAAATCATGACATCTGATTTATTTATTCATATTAATTGATTGATTCCCTTATCTTAATCAGTATCACGAAAGTTTTTAATTTGCTGATTTTGAAAACTAATTTTTTTTAATAAAAATAATTATTAATCATCAAATAGTTCGTGAGCATGATTAACGAGGTATTTGGAAGTTATCCTGAATGAGTGATTCAATTAAATGAAACTCTATTTTGAAGAGGTTCCTCCTTATTAAATCGAGCGTGTCTTGTTAAATTGAATTCATTTTGAGATATCAATATCAAAAAAAAAAAGGTGGGTGTCATCACCATTTTAAAAGTAATGTTATTGACATCTGAAAATTTTGCAAACCTCGTTTTCAATTTTTGACAATTAGATATGGACGGTTTCGATTTTTTGGTGATTTAAATTTAATTGTTGCAAAATATCTAACCTAGCATTAGATTGTATTACGTTTGATTCATTATTTTTTTGTGATTTAAATTTATGTTGATGGAGGTGACATTTTTTCGACCATGTTAGTCTCTCCTCTCTCTCTCTCTCTCTCTCTACATGTATATGCACGAGGGAGACACAAAGTGAGTCTAAATAGAAAAACCCTAAAATAAAATAAAAAAGTATTGAATTTATTTTAAATTTTGAAATAATCTATTTTTGTGTAGACATTAATTTGTTGGTTTTTAAATAAAGACAAATGATCTTTTGGTAAGATGTTATCCTTTTGGATCTAAAAACTTTATGCTTGGACCTATTACTTGTAAGTTGCATTCTCTTGACTTATAGTTCCCCATTTCTCTAATTAATCATATTAGATAATCTAATAAGAATTCAACAGACTTATTAAACTTATCATTTTTTAGTAGACACGCTTAAATTGTAAACTACAAATTCATAATTAGGTTAGCTTCCTTTCTCAACTAAACCAATTATTTTTAAATTTGTATAAAATATAATTAAATTTATTATCATAAATTCAAGTGAGACTTATTGTATATAAATAAGCCCTACGCTCACGAATGATGGATTAGAGGGAAGGAACATTCACATTCGTTGCAAGGCTCAGCAAAAAGCCCATGGCCCATGAGCCACGCTAAACAACCAAGCCATAGGCTAGTCCCGGTCTTGTATGCGGCAGTCCATGGGCAGCCCAACAGCCTGCTATATGAGATTTTGAGATGTGGTGTTCGGCCCGCTTACCCCAGTGTGTTGACCTGCTTATGGTTTTCAAAGTGTAAGCCTGCAATCCAGCCTATTGATCCAATAAAATTCAAACAAACAAATAAAAAAGATCGAAAACTTTGGTCTGCTTAAGGTTTTCTTTTTTTTTTTTTCTGCTGTTTCACTTTGTGGGTCAATCATAATATTCCGGAAGCAACTACTCAGAGAGTGTAATAACGATAAATTGTTAATTTAGATATTTTAAGTTTGAATTTTGGTAATTTATTAGGATCATATCTCTCATAAATATCTTAATCCCGAAATGGATGACTTACTTTTAACCGAACAAAAAAGAGAATTAGTCAAAGTATGCATAAATTAGTCCGAACACTCCTGATCATTGAATTAAAAAAAAAAATATAGGTTCCCTGTTCAAAAAATTTTAATCGAGCAATGATATAGAGACTTAATTCGTAGTCATTAGATCAATATTAAATTGTGATATGAATGACTAAATTAGATATAATTGTGATAGTCATTATAATAATTGAATGACTAAATTAGATATAAATAATATTTTTTCTTGTTTTTTATTAAGAAAAAATGCAGACCCAATGCAATCTGTTCTTCTTCAGGGACTACAGAAAAAATGCATGGCCTCAATGATCCAGTGGGTACAAATGCTTATCTGTGGTGATAATTTCTACTCTGAAAGTTTGAAAGAAACTTATGGGGTTTTCCCCATGTGACAAAGGCTCCACCTGTCCGCCACCACTTACTTTCGAGTTGAGCCTGGAGTCCTGACAAACTTAAAAAATTATTTAAATTTCACTTATTTTTTAAAGAAAAAGAATTTAAGTTGAATGAAAATAAATTGAATCTATTTGTATATGAACGAGCTAAGTTTATAGGGGCTTATTTTAAAAAAAATAAATTAAAAATTTACTTAAACTTGACTTATTTTTTAAATAAATAAGTTCAAATCGAACTCAAAAAGAATTGAATTCAAGTAACATAAAAAATGTCATAGCTGAGGGTTAAAGTATAATTTGTTCTAAGAGGATACGATCCCAGAGAATCTCGTAAATGCCTCAAACAATCTCCGTTTCTCCTCCATCCGCCACCATTGCAATTAAATTATGAGAAATGATAAACATTATGAGATCAATTTTTTTAATAGAATTAACTCATCTAATATTTAATCAAGGAAAAATATACATTTGAGTTGAATGAGTTTTATTTGAATGCATCGGAAAAATTTTAGCTATACTTTTTTCAGTTTCCTATATTTTTAAGAACATCCGATATATTATTTAAAACATCACTGAAACCCATTATAGTTTATATTTAAATATTATCCACAATTCTATCGTTAAACCATCTTTTCTAACAAAATCAAATCATCCAAAATATTTAAATTACCCTTACATAAATCTCAAATAATCTTTCTATATGAAATTCAATTAAAATTCGAGTTGATTAAAATTTTTTTTTTTTACATATTAAGATTTATTTTTCTACATATTACAATTTGAGTCGATTAAAATTTAGTTTGTGTTAATTAATTTTTTTTTACATATTAAAATTCAAGCCTATTAAAATTTAGATTTTACGTATTAAAACTCAAGCTGATTTGAGTTCTATTTAAACTATTTGCGCATATTAAAATTTACTTCGACTTGATTGACATTTATATTTTTTCTTAAAAAAATTTGTATCAATTAAAATTCGATTTAAGTTGATTAAAATTCAAATTTTTTAGTATTAGAATTTAAATCGATTAAAATTTATAATTTTTTATGTATCAAAAATCGTATCAATTAAAATATAATACGAGTTTTTAATTAGCTTAAATAGAATTTTAATCGATTCAAATTTTAATTCGTAAAAAAATATTATTTTTAATCGGCTCGAATTTTAATGCGTAAAAAATAAATTTTAATTAAATAGAATTGAGTTTTAATTGGCCGGAATTTTGATATGTAAAAAACAATTAAAAAATAGAAAGAGGTCTCATTGAAGATATGTTTATTTAGAGGGGTGTGGATAAAGTTTTTTATAAAATATATCATAGATAATTTAATAAAATTATATTCTAATTAATACTTTTAGATTGATACAGAGTGTCAGTGAAGATTTAAAAAATAGAGGGTATATTTTGAAAATATGATAAACTAAAAAGGATTTGGTTGAAATTTTTCGTAATTTATACTAAATCTAACGAATCCGGAACATGCAGACGGACAAGGAAACTGAAATAAATGGGCGGACTCCAAAAACAAATACACAGCTAAGATTTTAGGAGCGTAATTGAGGCCCTTCTCTCTCTCTCCGGTACAAGTCCCAAAGAAGAAGAGCAACAAGGTAAAGAGTAACTGAGAGCGAGTTAACGAAGAACATAGCCGGAGAGACTGGAGAGAGTGAGAGACTCAGGTCATTGACCCAAAGCAATGGGAAGATCAGGCACATCTTGCTTCAAGATCATCACCTGTGGCAGCGACTCCGCCGATAACGACGATCTCAATGTCCCTGAGGTAACTCCAATTTTTTTGATCTTCATTTTCATTTTCGGATCTTAATTTGTTTACATCTTTCCCAGCAAACATAAGATAACGAATTTGTTGTTAAGGTTTTCCTATGATTTTTCTTTGTTATACAAAATGATGTGTTTTCATGATTTTACAATGTGAGGGTTGAGCTCGTTGTTTGAATGCATAAGTACCTAGGTTAGACGCAGGCAGGCTAGAAGTTGGAAAGAATTTTGAGCGGCATATGGATTAGCCGAATGTTCATTTAAACTTTTGATCTTTCAGAAGTTTGTGATTTTGCGGGGGTGAGATCCTCTCTAGTACACTTTCTCTTTATTTTCGGGAATTGAAGAGAAAGTGTAGTGTAGAAGATCTGAATCCGAATTTGAGTGGTGGACTGGTTTCAGATTGTCAGTTATAGTTCATTTATAGTTCGTAGGATTCTGATTCCTGAATAAGGATCTTTTCAAGAATCTTTGGTTGTTATCTTAATTCAGTGGGATTAGCAAAATTTTGTGGCTTATGACATAATATAATCGTGCTTTGACATCACAATTAGCATTTTAGACCGGAGATCATGGGAGGATGCAACTCATGATATTATTACTAGCACACTGAATTGGTATATTTTACTTAATCAGTTCATATTTGGCATTTCTGTTGTTTTTTAATGCATTTGAATTAGAAAAAAGAAACTAACATAATCCTCAAATTCATGAGTTAGGAGGTGATTAGTCTTTACAGATACGCCATCAGTATTTGATAACTTGCCAAGTATTTTTCAGCTTGTTTGTTTGTGCTTTGATCTTGCGCATTCATGTAATGTGTATTGAATGGCACGATCATATTTATGCTTGGAAACTTGTGGAGTAAGTAATGTTAAGTAGCTGTCTTTAGACAGTCACAAGAGATTGCAATTGGCAAGGTGATGTCTTGTCAAAGGGATGTGACGGAGTTTCTCACTCTCCTGGTGTGGTGTTGAGTTCATATGTCCTGACTTTTAATTATCCCATAGTTGATTGATGAGATTTAATCTTTTGACTTTTTAAGAATTATGCTGTAAGGGTAGGGACCCTAATCTGCCACTAACACTCTTATTGGATTGTTTGACACTGGGATTTCGGGCTCCACCCCCCTACCCCAAAAAAAAAGAAAAACTATATGGTATCACGCAAATGATGCTGATCACATGTAGGTATTCTTCTTGTGTGGGACACAAGTTTTGTATTCTATCTCAAAGAAATCAAACACGACGCTTGCACTTTAAACTAAATAAAGTTAAGATGATGTCATCCCAGATCCATGTGTTGGACTGTTAGTGCCTGTCCCACATGTTGGTTTATTGGATCTCAGTAAATTATGACCTAGGGAGGGAAAGTACACAGTCTTCATAAATAGTGGGTAGCAGTGCGTAAATGATTCCATTTTTTTCATATACCAGGATGTTCTTATCAAACATTTACACATTTTGCTTATTTATCATCGTGTCCTAAAAAATGAATAATGAAATAATAGTTAGTGGTTATCTGTTGATTCATGTTGTGCACCTCTACTTTCATAAATATGCGTGGACTGGAACAATCAATGAATCATGGAAATCCCACAAATACGAACTTCATTAAGTTTTTGCACATTGAATGGGCAGAAGTTAGAATTGAAATAATGTAAAATTTATTTATAGTTCAGGGAGTTTGGATCTCAGTAATGTTCTTGTTCTATCTTCCTACATTTAGTGGTGTTTTGTGTCAATTTCCCTTCAGAGCAAGAGTCCAAGTGACAAACCTGGTTGGACTTTTCGGAAGAGATCGGCAAGGCATCGAGTATTGAGCAACACTGTGATATCAGAGACGCCTTCTTCTGGGATTAAGGAGAGACAAGAATCTGCTACTGTCACCTTCCAGACACAAACTAACTCTACTATTCCAGAGAAAGCCCCTGGAATGCAATGGGCGGATGAGAAACCCAAGTCAGTGGACTTAGAATTATCTGAGACCATCTCTGCTACAGAGGATAATGGTAAGGCTGATGTTGACCCAGAGGAATCTGCTATTATTGTCATCCAGGCTGCTATCAGGGGATTCTTGGTACGTCTTTTACAATTTTATGGTAAGAACCCTAGTTAAACTTGTAACATCTATTTCAATTTGCTTTAGCAGGCTCAGAGAGCACTACTACAGCAGAAGAACATTGTTAAGTTGCAAGCCGCTGTACGTGGACATTTGGTTCGGAGGAATGCTGTGGGAACGTTACGATGTCTTCAGGCCATTATCAAAATGCAAGCTCTTGTTCGTGCGCATCATGTTCGCCTCTCAAGGGAAGGTTCAAGCATTGAAGAGATGCCAGATGGAAAGGATGTGAAAGATAATCACAGTGCAGAACTCTTGGTAATTGCTATCTAACTCAGATTAGCCAATTTGCATCTTTATGGGTTGGCTATGCTGTTTCGTTGTGTCCCGTCCCGAGTCGCATCCTTTCTGTTGATCCTATGCATATTAGCTCTCAACTGGCATCAACACTATTCAAAATAGATTTTTGATAATTATTGTGATAGCTACTCTCGTAAATGGTTCTAACTACTTTCTAACTAGTTGAGAAAAATGTTAAGCTTGTCATCCGTAGTGTATTGTAATTTCTTCCTCAACCTTTGTTGTCCTGAAGAAGTGTGAGCTCATTGGCCAAACCTTCCTCAACAATCAAATATGTATTTCATAAGGACTCAGAAAGCTCAATATGTAGTACAGACTGTAGAAATACTAGTTTAATCAATGTTCTAAAAAGTTGTTGCCTGATCATTAGGTTTAGGGTCTAGAATATGTGTAAGGTTGATCAGATTATACTGTGCTTAGCCATGACCGCCAATAAGGTTATGCTTGGGATATCATCTTTTGCCCTCAGGATCGTCTATATCTCTTAAGTAGTTGGTTTAATTTTACTTTTCACTTCATGAATTCAGGACAAGTATTGTTTCATCCTTTGAGGAACTACTTTTCATGTATTTGTATAGGCAAATTGCAGTTGTTTCAGTTATGGATTATTATGTCTGATTGTTCCGTCTTGTTTCAGGAAAAGAAAAACACTAGAATCAAACCGCATGTAACCTACACTTCCATTGAGAAGCTACTTAGGAATAGGTTTGCTCGTGAGGTAAGGGAATTAACATTTTCCATAGTTTGGTCTCAAACTAAACTGCAAGTCAATGATCCCAGATTGCAACTTTTCAAACTGAAACTTGTGTTCCTTTTTTTTCCCCCCGGATATAAGCTTCTGGCATCAACACCAAGGACCAAACCTATAAACATCACATGTGATCCTTCAAAATCTGATTCGTCTTGGAAATGGTTGGAGCTGTGGATGTCTGTTTCCTCAACAGGGAATGAACAACCGCCAAAATTACAATCAAGTACAAAGCCACAGGAGCTGGAAAGGGTTGACCATTCTGGAAGTTTGGTGGAAACTGTAATTCCATCAGATAGTTGTTGCAAGTCAACAGATTCAAAATCCAGTGTAGAGGAAGCAGCAGTGCCACCTGAAAGTGAAGAAACTTTGGCAACTCATGATGCAGACAGCTTTAACTTCCAAGTATGCCAACCCACCTCATATTCGGCGAGTCATAGCCTGGAGCAGCTTCAGCCTGAGAGCACATGCACGTCAAATTTGAGAGAGAACTCATTAGGTTCGCTTCATAGTCAAATGGAACTATCGGATTCAATTTCTAAAGCGGGGTCCAGTCCCATGTCTAGTAACCATGAAATTATGAGTGAGCAACCTAAACATGACATGAAAAAGTTTGCCTCTGAACAACTTGAGATAGAGGGAAAGAAGGTTGTGTATGGGCCAAGAAAGGCCAGTAATCCAGCATTCATTGCTGCTCAGTCCAAATTTGAAGAGTTGAGTTCAGCAGCCAATTCAACAAAATCAATGAATTCATTGAATCAAGATATTGGGGCTGAATCTTATGCAGAATTAGTTTCTCCTGCCAAAGATAATGCTTTTGGGACAGGGGAGATTGGCCTGGCTGAGAATTCCGTTCCCCCTACTTCAAGGGTTGAAGTTGCTGGCTCTGAATGTGGCACTGAATTGTCTATTACTTCCACTCTTGATTCTCCAGATAGATCTGAGGCAGGAGTCATGGAGGTTGAGCAGGAAGCCAATTTTTCAGAGGATGAGGCAAACAATTCTAAGAGCACTAAAAGTGTGGATGGTGAAGCTAAGGGAGAATCTGTTATCATCGGAACTGACTTATCTAATTCCATCTCAGTTCAGCCAGAGAAATCCGATGACGTTAATGGTGTTAGCAATGAATCTGTTAATACTTTAGTGGCTGAGGATTCTTCACAGGTACTGCAGAAGACCAAGAAAAATGCATCTGATATACAGCAGATAGAGCTGGAATATGGGACGGATCACCAAGTATACAAGCCATCACCAGAAGAGTCTCCAAGAAGCCACATAACTGTTCCTGAATCTCAAGAAACACCTAGTCCGTTATCATTAAAAGCTAAGAAGCCCAAAAGTGGAAAACGTAGATCCAACGCAAAACCTAGGTCTTTGTCTGCTGATAAAAGTTCCTTTTCAAATTCTAATCATGATTCTGGGGCAAGAAGTAGTTTGGAGCAATTACCTAAAGATTTCAAAACAGGGAAGCGGCGTAATTCTTTTGGTTCAGCACAACCTGATCATGTTGACCAGGAGCCAAGAGATAGCAGCAGCAGTAAGTCTCTCCCAAATTATATGCAAGCAACAGAATCTGTGAGAGCCAAGGCTCTTGCCAACAGCTCCCCAAGATCAAGTCCAGATGTTCATGACAAGGACATTTACATGAAAAAACGACACTCCCTTCCCGGTGCTAATGGAAGACAGGGATCCCCTCGGATCCAGCGGTCTCCGTCTCAGGCACAACAGATTGCAAAGGGAAATGGCACCCACCATCATGGTATTTCCTAGACCTCCATGTGTTTCTATTCAGATTGAAACTCCTGCGCCTATTTGTGCAACTCATTCACTTAAACTATTGCCCTTTTATTCAAAAGCGTTTTCCAGTAATGCTTACTTTTTTAACATTTACACTCTGACAGCAATACTGCCTATACAACCAAGAAACTTAATGCCTTCTCAGTGATCTTGGGCCAGATGCCTTTTAATTATCTGCATCTGCCCTTCTTGTTACTCGCATAATTATTTGTTTTTAATTGGTAACTGCTAAGTTCTTGCATCTCTTCATATTTTTAGTTGCTACCGACTTTCATGCTATCGTAAATTACTGTAATTGTAAGTCACAGAATCTTTTATGTCTTATTCTATGGCTGTACTTATACCAGTGGCATTCATATCCCCAATTTTGGTGATTCACTACCTTTGTTACTTGACATTAGAATGCAATACAATGGATTGCCTATTATGATTTGTGATTTCTTTCAGAGATGTATTAAACTAGTACGTGAGTAGGGTTTGTAGCTTTCCTATAGTTTCACGTGGGAGCAACTATATGAAGCCGGTTCCCAGACCTACACGTGGTTGCCTGCAGCTGCTGCACTCACCATTTCCCTATGACTAATGTATCCAGATGTTTTTATCTTAACATCCTTATGTTATGCATAATCAGCAGCAGCTATGTAAGCCAGAGTTTTATAATAAATTTGGTCACTCAGTAGTTGAATCTCATTTCAGATAGAAAGTGGCAGAGGTAAAAATATTCTCGAAGACGGACAGAGCTAACAACTACGTGTTGACTAGATGAGCATTTCAAGTTGATTGCGTCAATCTGTTTGATGGGTAAACCATATTGTGTTGATTCTGGGGATCTTCCTTTGAAAGCACGTAAGGAAGCAATGCACTGGATTTATATTTGTCAGAGGAGGAAATACGTAGAGAGCAGAGGGAGAAGTTATGTAAATGACTGTTTGTACTATGCCTATTATAGCTTATTTCTGAAAGGTTTTCAATTCAGAGAATTGCTTGTATGCTTGTTTAATAGCATCGTGTCTCGTGACATTCTTTAGGCTTGTAATAAGATGGTTTTGGTCAATGATGCCAAAGCTTGACATGATTTATGTACAGTATATTGGTTTCTACTTATTTCAAGTTTAATAATGTTATTTAGATCTAATATGTTGACTGTGAGAACAAAAATTCGCACAATCACTGAAAATGTTGAAGGTGCGCCCTTGATCTTCAAGTATTGTTCAATCTATGAATTGCAAAATCAAAGAGAGATTAGAGGGACTCCTGGCATTGAGCCGGGGGATGTCCCTCCGTTGTCTAATTTAATATTGCGATCAATACATGTATTCGCAAGTGTATAAACGAAGAAAATAATATGGTTGTGTGTGTGTGTATGAGGTATGGAGCTAAGAGTTCTCATGCCAGGGTCTCCTAACTTTGGAATTTCACCCATATTATTGAGACGAGTAAAGAGTTACTTACCAATTGTCCTTGTTTCTGGCATGACTAATAGCTATCTTTTTAATTTTAGGCCATGTCCCTAGAGCTTTGTGTCATCAATTGTAGCCACTTTTGTCAAATGATATAACCCATTACAAAATGTTTTGTCAATTGTCCCTAACTTTTATTTTTTTCATAATACTAGAAAGTGATGGAAACTATAAAGAATATTCATCCGGCGCTTGATAAGATGTAGCTTAGGATAGATATCTCGAGATCTAATATATGTCATCGAAGCAATCACAAAGCCCGAATCAAATAGATAATAGCTTGAGCAGAGTCCTAATGCACTTTTCATTTTTAACAGAATACCAAGATTAATATATGTAGGGTTCAAAGATTCTATAGCCAATAAATGATTAGTCAAAATAATGTGTTTGTCTTATATCGCAGTTGATATATCCATGCTTGATCAAAAGAATAAGAAAATTACAGTGGTGGGCCTGATCGATAACAATGAACATACAAAAAAAATCCCTCACACCAAGTAATAATGAGGTGCGTCATTGAAAGACAAAATAATGGAATCCCAAGCATAAACATAAGAGGTTGTTGGAGAGAGTTGAATCCTGAATAGAACGACCATAACTAAACCTCAATCACATCCAAAGAAGATAATAATATTTGAACCCCGAGAAGGACAATAATTAAATCCCAAAAAATGATCGTGGGGTGTTGTTTGAGGAAGACCCAACCACTGGCCTTTAGAAATGGCCCAAACAAATCTATCCGTATAGAGAAAAATCGAATAAACTTGACCCATTGAGAATGGCCATAAGAGAAAGCCCGAACATATATGTCCCTTGGCCTCAATAATCTCGAGTTGACGATGAACTCGACAATGAGTCTTGTCTTTTCCTATCATGTTCAAGTAACATTTAATTGAAATAAATAAAAGTGTATCTTATGAAATCGAGTCTTGAATGTACTAAACCCGTAGTTAGACGTTCAAGGTTTTATCAGATTTCACTTGCGAAAACATTTATATATGACCTCCGAACATGCATGTTGATGTTAGGCCAGTTCTTTCGGACTTTAAGCATTAAAATTTGATATTCGAACATGGCCAATGGAGCTTAGTCAATCTTTTTCTCATAACTGTGTTGCACCATGTCTAAGGTCTCATTTAGAGTATCTTGTCACCTTTGTAAGTAAGGAGTATTCTTAAGTGCAAGTTCTTGAAATCGTCCCTGAGAAGTTTTATGCCTCCAATAGGAATTTTGATTCTTTGGCCATGCAAATGCTTACCTGTGTCCAGGGTCTAAACCCTAGTCTTATGCCACCTCCTTCAACAAAGAGTACTCCCAAGTCCAGGTTCTTAATTTCATCCCTAAGAGGGTTTTATGCCTACAATAGATTTTTTGATGCTTTGGCCAAGCCAAGGCTTATCCATTTCTAGGGACTGGAGCCCACCAAGTGCCTAAACATATAGAGCTTTTATCTATGATTTAGACTTGCTTTCAAGAATCGAGTATTTTATTTTTACTGTATGTGTCCTTGATGCGGGCCTTCTCCTCCATAATACATGATTATGTAAGCTCTCACTTAGTAAAAAATACATTTCGGGGGTTATGCAAACTTAGTTGGAGGTTCGACTGATCTCTAAGCTGGTCTGAACATTTCCCCCCAGTGCGCACCCCAGGCGGCTACGTAATTTTGTTCCAGGCCATTGGAGTGTTGGAAAACTCGGAATCAATGTGGATGGGGATATTTCATTCATCCACATAATAGTTGGACCCCAAGGCCTCAAGAGTGCCCTGTCCGTGATTGTAGTTCGGGTGATGAACCTTGTCCTATTGATCCCTTCTCGAGGTCTATGAAGAGAAGAGGTTGAGGGGGAGTGGGCAAGTTTCAACCTCCCCTGCGCCTGTTTGGAGACACCGAACAATGCTTATGGGTTCATTATTGGTGTCGATCATTTTAGTGGTGTTGCTGAGAACCACTTTGAATTATATAGTGACAATTTTTAAATTCATTATTGATGAACTAGAGTGACAATTTGATTTTAGCATTTCATGAAAGCTATTTTTTTTTCATCCTACGATTTTATCGAGTGAGTTAATGATTTTTTTGGTGTTATGTAATTTTAATTTTTGGATTAATGCAAGCAGTATAGAATTTTAATTTTTTAATACAAAGAGATCGAAACATAATAACTTGAGTTTGAGAACTATTGGATGTTTAGATAATGAGAAAATAAGTCCCACTTATTCTAATTTTGTAATTCAAATAAAATATTTTTCAATTCAAAAAGTAAAATATTTTTTGTACTCCATTAGATTTTCCATGAAAAATGGAGTTTTGTGAATTATGTTCAGGAGTGAAAGAGTATTTTGGAGAGATTTATATTATGAAAGATCAGGACGTGAGTCATTTTTTAAAAAAATAAAAATTTGTATTTTTACCTATTTTGATTATATAAATTGTGTATGCAAATTGATATTGTCCAAAAGTTGTGCTTTTAGAGTTTATTTTATCGATTTTTTTTGAATAGTAGGTCTATATTATTTGGTACTTTGTGTTATACATTGCTTTCAAGTGTAATTTTTTTTTGAATAGTGCGTTCAAGCACGGGGTAGTAACTAATAGTATTATATTTATTTAAAATCATAATTTTTTTAAGATTGACAATAATTACTTTGATAAAATAAAAAGAATAATGTCAAATGAATAAAAAGAGGGCTAAAAACAAGAATTAAATGATGCACAAATTTAAACGAATTATAGATAGGCCCAAGGACAAAAAATAAATGATGCAACTCTGTAAACTGAATACAAAATAGGGCCAAAGAAAAAAAAACTAAATGATGCAGTGTTGTAAATTGAATACTACAAAATAGGACTAAAGACAAAAATTAAATGATGCGGCGGTGTTAGATATGGTGCGAAAATTTACATGATGTGGCGTATATATATGGTGAGAAAAGTTTGAATTTTAAATAGTAAATTTGATACCACATAGCACCATCATATTGTATATGCATTATTAAATTTTTTATTTTTTAATTAATCTAACATTACAAAATGGAAAAAAAAAATTCTACCCTTATATACACCCCATTCATTTCTTCGTTTCAGTTTATGGAATGAGTACTTATGTCTTTTGACTAGGGAGTACATAAAAATTTTTGAGAATATTTTGAAAAGAAAATAGAAAAAAACAAAATTTGTGAATTTATTTTTAAAATATTTGTTAAAATATAATGAAATATTTTGAAACAGTTCAAAATATTAATAAAAATATCACAAGACACTTCAAAATATTTGAAAAACACCTTAAAACTCCTTTAAACGTTAATTTTATTGATTTGTTTCGATCTTCCTTTTAAAACGAAATCATTTGGATCACCAAACGAAGGACAAGTCTACGATACAAGAAAAAAATTGGTATTATATTGACATTTATCATCGTTATGAATGTTTTTATTATTACATTAATTTTTTAGAAAAAATTTCATTCATACCTCCAGTAATTAGGTCTAAATTCAATAACCCTCTATCAGTGATTGTCGGGTTACAATATTAACGACGATAGTTGATTTACAGAAATATCTCTGAATATTTTATAAGACAAATTTTAGTCATACTCATTGCAAATAGATTTAATTTTAACAACACATTTTATAAATAGACTTAATTTTAACAATATTTCTTATTGATTCTGAAATTTCAAAGCACTCTCTTTTAGTTCTATTACATAATTTAAAATCTATGTTTATTAATTAGTTTTCAAAAATATGTAATCCTCTAAATTTTTTTCAATATATGCATACTATCGTGTATGAATAATATTTAAAATAAAAAAAATAAATCATAAATTTATCAAATATTAAAATAATTGGGCAAGTGATAGAAATAAGTGATGAGATTTTTTGAGAGGAAAATTATGTAGGAAATAAAATTTAATTTGTGAACTATCTTATTATATAGATATTTGTAATAATTTTAAATGTACATAAATAATATTTTTTTTGAAAAAATTTCTAGGTGGTCTCGTGCTCCCATCCACTGTCCTCAAGGGAGGTCATGATCAATAATAAATACTTATGATTAATTATGAAAAATACGGCATCAATCCTAATATTTTATGGTCGATTAACTTTTTAAAGTTATAATTTATATTTCAATAAAATAATAATTTAACCTTGTAAAATTATAATTTTCGGGACCGATACCGCTTTCAGTTTAGTAAAAGTTCCCAAAAAACTGACGCAGCCAGAAACTGACACGTTCACTCCAAATTGTCGCGCGTACAGCATCAGTCAGACCGACACGCGCTGACTAAAAACCCAACCACAGAAACAGAGATAAAAAGAAAGAGAAAATAAAACGACTTTTAAAATTAACGGCAAACCCTAAGTCATACAGAGGATCTGGGGTTTCCTATCTAGGGTTTCCTTGGATATCTCTCACCTTTATCTCTGTTCATATGAGTTATATCTATTGAATCGATGGCCGTAAAGCCTCAGATCGTGTTCAAATGGGACCAGAATCGGGGTTCTTTTTGTTGGACTACTTTTGATTGTTTTGATTGAGTGAATTTTATTGCTTCTCCAATCGTTAAAAAGATAGTTGTTGATAATCGTATTGTATTTTGTGAAATATGGGGGGATCGCATAAATCAAATAGGGTTTCTTGGGCTTCAGGTGTAAATCTTTGTCAGGTAAATCTTCAAAAATCTTTATCTCTATGAATATTTTCCGATTTAATGTCTGTCCGATTTCAGTTCCGAGACTCAAACTGATATCAAGAAATTTATTAATAAATTTGGACTATAATCCACGAATGGTCGTTGACATTAGTTTTTGTCCAATTTTAGTGTAAGATTACAACAATGACATTGGTTTCTAGCTGTTTAGTGTGAGATTGAATTATGTTGAAATGTTTTAGACTCCTGCCTCCGTGTATTAACTGAATAACTAGTTGTTGTTTTTTGTGTTCAACTGTTAATTATGGACTAATTTTATAGTTTCCCTCCAGCTTTTAACTTTTCATCTAATGAGTTTTGTGATTTATACTAATGTGGTGAACAATTCCCATGAATTGTAGGAAGGTTGGTTTTGTGTTTTTTTGCCTAGAGTCCAATAGCTGAAGGGGGAAGTGTATTCGTAATTGTCAAATAGAATTTCAAAGATACAAAAAAGCGTAAGAGTGCATGATTTGAAGTTTACTACTTGCAGAAAATATAGAATGAAGACGGCTTGGATCGCTCTTACAATCCCTTAGGCATCACAAGTAAAGTTGGAATGGACAACCCTCAAAGAGTGTTTGTGCCTGATAGTTATTCGAATTTTTTCTTCATTCAAGAAGAAAGAGTGTCCCTAATTAGTTTTGGAATGGGAATCCAGCTGTAGATAAATATCGAATGGTAAGTTATCATGTCTACAAACCACACATGAAGACCTAACAACAAAACTGGAGGCAAAATGGGACATTTGACCACAGGGATAGCTTATGCCTGCATAATTTTGTATTACTAATGCATTTTAACCCGACAGCTCAAAAATAAAATAAATAATACTACTACAAGAAATCAGAACCCTTCTAATCAGTGGAAAACATGAGACAATTTCTTTTGCTTAGTTCTTTTTAATATAAATTTTGGTCTGAAGCTATTCATGCTTGCATTTGCTTGCTATGGCACGTGTGCTGAGCTTTAATTTTAGTGCCATTACACATAGGAAAAAGAAGGGAGGGTAGAATTTTGTTAATGTAATGGCCTGTAATTTGGCTTTAACCTGCTTTCTGGGGCTTGCAAAGTCTGATTTCTGCGTAGAGGCAAAGGTTTCCGTCACTTTGCTTGAAGAGATTAGAATGCTGATTACTTCCAGTTAAGTTCGCTAGGGATACTCCAATATGGTGGAGCAATTGAGTGGCCCAATGATGGTGGAGACAGAAACCATGGACCTTTTGCAGGAATGTGTGCTAGTGGCATGAATGTTTTGCATATGGCGGTGAAAGCGAGCAGGTCTTGTGTTCTTGAAACCACTCCCACACTTGGAAGGCAGAAGAATTCAGCTAGCTCAGGAAGTTTCAATTGATTATTATTTTGTTGTATTTTCACGAAGCAATATTGTTTTATGTCAGCTTGTTTTTGGTTTCATTCAAGCTTGTGTTCTCATTGTGCTATTTGTAGTGTACTAGTTTGTCTGATATTTTTAAGAAGAATAAAACAAACATTGATATTGTAGTCAGTATGTTCGTTGTTCCTAGGATCAAGCATGTGTTATATGTTCTATTCAAATATAAGTTATGAAATGGTTAAGAGACAAATTCTTTTCTTATATAGGTAAGGCTGTTTTTGTCAGAAGAATCTCCTTCACAAATTGGACTGGGCATTCAAGATGACCTCCAGGCAAAGACATCATGGTCATTGCATTCAACAGGAATGGGATCTGATGACAATTTGCCACCTGGCTTTGAAGGAACTGAACCGGCAAATCTATTAAAGAATCGGTTGTCTCAAGTTCCTGTTATCAAATGGAGATGTCCTCCCAGAGTAAGTTATTGCTTTTGTTGTATGCTCATTCCCTGGTATGTATTCACATAAATATTTCTCCGTGCATTTTATGTTTTGAAGTCTGGGTACATTTATATTGTGTATTCTTATAAAATAGGCCACATTTCCTTTTGTGGATGTCCCTAAAAGATTTTGTAAATCGAAATTTTCAAAGGGCTATTTAAATGTTGTCTGTTTCCAATCTTAATGACCAGTTATTCACGTTCAAACGTCATTACAATGAAGGGTGTATGTGACATTCTAATGCATAATGGCCAGTGTAAATGCTTTAGTTGGATCCCATCAAACAATGTGCAAAGCCAAAGTCAGCTCTATTTTAAGGACCATGTTTCACACTATTTTGTCTGAATGGTAGAAAGACAATTAGAGTTCTCATTCATGGGAAATCATAGTATAAGACACATATTAGTTGGGCCATTCATTTATTATGGTAAAATGCATGATAAAACCATGAAGTGCAGAATGTTATAAGTTATTACATTTCTTCCTTTCCAATGAATTTTACAGATTGTATTGGATTTCAATTGGCGAGTGGTTGATGGGGAAGAAAGTGACGAAGTGGATGTTCAAACTCAGCGGGAAGTGAGAGTGCTTGAAGCAGTTTATCCTCGCCCATCTGCCATTCCTCCAAAGTAAATTTTTTTTTTTACTTCGCAGGCTTTTTTGAGAAGCTTATATCTCAGGATTTGCCGTTCCTTAATCCAATATATTATTAATTTCCATGCAGTCCTTCTGTGTTAATGGGAGTAGAAGACTCTGCTTACAATGATCAGAACACTGCTCTGATTCCCATCACTCCAGTCGAAGAGGAAGATGTAGCAGCAGATACTTCATCTGATTATATGACATCAAACACTCTTCCCATGAGCTCACAAGCTCAACTATTGGCTCCTGGCACTTCAGCATCTCAGTGCAGTGCTGCGACTGATCCAAAACCTTCTGCCAATGGAATTCTGCCTACAGGAATGGCTTCTGGTGTAGAACCTGATGTCTTTGCGGCAGCATATACTGCCTTGAATGCAGTAATATCAAATAAGAATGAAGGGAGCTTGATTGACCATGACTTGCTCATCAGAATTCTCAGCAACCCACAATTGATGGAGAATTTCGTTACAAATCATGGAGAAACCAGTAACCCACGACTTATACCCAAACCAAGGTCATCCGGAATAACGATTTCTGATCCTTCTCCAATCCACACTTATAGAACAGAAACTGTTTCATCCTCATTGGCAGCTACTCCTATTGCACCATTCTACCCTCTGCCAAGTAGGATGACACATGTTCCTAATCCACTGCCTCCTCCACCTGAGGTCCTTTCAGCTTCCACGCCAACTGTGGGAGCTCCTGTGGCAAGGGACATCAGTTATTACAAGAGCTTGATTCAGCAACATGGGGAAGAAAGACAAGAGACCCCACCACAATTTGATAGCCGTCACAATGCGCACCTGGGAGTGAAGCCAGAATCAGTGAATAACCCTAACCCAAGGGATCCAAAACCAAAGATTATGAAGCCTTGCATCTACTTCAACAGCTCTAGGGGATGCCTGCATGGGGCCAATTGTTCATATCTGCATGATCCATCACCCCAGCAGCAGCGGGTAAGTGGCATGCCACCAGAAGTGCAAAGTGGAAAGAGAATGAAAATGGATAGAGAGATTACTGGTTTATAATCTTGCAGTTAGCATCACTGTATTTTTCTTTTGGATTTGATGATGGAAGCCGATGGAAGCCGCAGCCTTTTACTCTACCTGTGACTTAATTTTGCCGCAAATTATAATCAATTCATTTTATTTATTTCTCTTATCAGTCACCTGCCTGCTTTGGTAACCAGTGGATAGGGCTGTTAATCAAATCGAGTTATTCGAGCTTGGTTTGGATTCGGTTTGTTTTTTACTCATTCGTGCTTGACTCGTTTTCTAAACGAGACGAATTTCAACATTTTTAGGCTCGGTTAAAAAAATTAGTTTTTTAGGCTCGGCTCAAATTCATTGTACTATCAGCCCTACTGGTGGATGAGGAGCTTGACAGGTTCCAGCAATTTTACCTAGTTAAATACAAGTTTTGACTGGCATCTTGTATATTTCCTGGCTACTGCTGTTTTTTTTTTTTTTTTTTTTTTTTGGGTGTGTACTTTTAAAAATAAGGGTCTTATCTGTTTCAACTCTTGTGGCTTTGTGATTTTTTGGTGGTTTTAGTTACAAATTATTTGAAGGGAAGTTGCATAACTTTACATAGATCAGTCGAAAAAAAAGGTCCTATTACAAACTCTCTTTTTATTTTTGCAACTTTTTTTTTTCATTTTTTTCTGGGTTTTTGTGTGTTATAGAAGTATGGATTGAATCTCTTTAGAACTAGTTTAAATGAATAGTTTTTAAAGGTTTTTGGTGTAAAATAAGTTAGATTTGTTTAGACTTTGATTTTTTTACCTGATACAAAAGCCAGCTTTTTTGACCCCAAAAAAAAAAAAAAGTTTATTTAGATTGATTCAAAAAATTAATTTTATGAATTTTTTTTTTCAATTTTTTACAGTTTTGTTAAGGTTCACATATAACTTTTTAGTTTCTTATAATCATAAAATATTATTAGTGATGTAAAAAGAATTAAAATTTATATTTTAGGAATTATTATGCATAATCTAATTATGCATATAATTATTTTTTAATTTTTACTTAAAAAAATTAGTAAGTCATTCAAAATGAATTTTTCCAAATTTTTCAAGAACACTTTAAACAGTTTTGAAAATTTTTTGACTAGAACTTTTTTGCAAAACTTTTTAAAATATATTTTTTCACTTAAAAAAGTCAGATCTAAACAGGTGTAATGTCGATTAACCAATGATTGCATTTGTTTAAAAAAATATAAACGGGATGATTAATATTTTATATTTAATTAAAATAATACTATTAGCGATCTAAAATTACGAAAAGTATAAAATTCGACTGAAAATTTTGAAAACTAGGAGGATCCAGATCCTACTGGGATAGTAGGATAGCAAGGTCCATCTTCAAATGGATCTTTTCACGGGTTGACCGAGTTTCAACTTTCTACTGAAAGCAGAGAGAGAGCGAGCGAGCGAGGAGCGAGAAAGAGGAAAATGTTGAAGTTCTTGTCAAAGGTGAGAATCGAATTCAATGCCTTAGATCCACGCACGGCGGCGTGTATGGAGTTCTTGGCTCAATGTAACGCCCGCAAGGCCAAGGAATCAAACCCAGCCTGTCAACTAGTTGTCAAGCGTCGAACAGATGACCACCCACCGCAGATCACCGTGACCTTCGTCAATGGGGTCGAAGAGGTGTTCGACGCCACATCCACTGCCGCACAGACCATCCGCGACATGATTCTCGAAAAGGGTCAGCTTCTCGAGACCGAGCAAATGTTTCGCGAAGCCGGCGAGCAATGGCCCGTCATCATTCCCGAAGAAGAGATCCGTCAACCAGCCCCTGGTACTAAGGTAGTTTATTGTTCGTCTCTAATTGTATATAGTGATGGACTGTTTTTAGAGTTTGACGGATATGCATATTGGATGAGACAATTAGTCGAACAGTTTGTGTGTACTGTTCTTTAGTTTCAATTTGTGTTTACTGGTAATTATTCGATCCGTGTTGCATGTTTCTGGTAGATTACCTGTTGTGTTACTGATTCTTCGTCAGTTATATCATTGGTTGATACCAATTGGTGTATTCTTGTTGATTTTGCTTCGGTGTGCATCTTTCGAGGAGGTATTTAGGTCAAATAGTTGGTATTACTAATTTATGTTAACGAGTATCGTTACTTTGATTTCTGTTTTTGTTTCATGATTCAATTGAACCTTGTGTTTAGAGTTCTAAATGGCAAATTTAGTCTCTCGTAATGATCAGGCCATTATCCCACAAACTCCATCTACTTAGTTTTTGTTTGTTGAAGTATTGAACCCTTTTTAAGGGGAATGAGTGGAAATATAGTTCCTGCATATACTATGTGTTCTGGTTGGATCATGTTATCGTGTTGTTACATTGTCTTTAGTAGGTGTAGTTAGTTTTAGTTGTCAGTTTCTGGATTCAATCCTAGTTGAATGGATTGGGAAAGCAACACCACCGTACATATACTAATTAATGTAAGGAATTGGTCTTATGACTATTTTGTAATGTGTTTGTGTGACATAGCCGAAACCTGAAAAACTCTTACTGTAATACATTTTCTTCATCTGAGCCCATTAAGAGCATTTTGCTTGTGATTAAGCCCTTAATTCCCTACCAGCCAAAGGTCAGGTTAGGTTGAATTCCATATGGAAGGAAAATGTGACCAAATGGTGAGCATTTGATTTTCATTGTTCATAGAGTTTTGTAGTAAATATTGGCCACAGTGAGCTATGCCTTCTGGAAATTGTGCATTTGGTGTGTATTTCCTAACAGGAACTTCTATTAAATACATGTCCCTGCAAGAAAGGAGATTTATCTTGAACTTTTGATCTCTAAATGACATTGTTTTTCTGTGCAAACTATTACTACAAGTTCTACAAGTAAACTCCCAAGTCCACCCACTTCAGCCCACTCAAGTTTTTTTAACAATCCTGCTTCTTGTTGTTCTTCTAATATACCCACGCGATATGATTGGATACCACAGTTGGGTTAATTTGTTAAACTTTGAACTCCGGTGTGGCCATTGGATGGTAGACACAAGACTTGTATGCATACAATATGAGATCAAAGGTGGATTTTTTTAATGAATGTTATGATATGCAATATTGGTGTGGTGCCATGTCTCTTTCACTTTAGTTGTGTTACTAATTATTGGTCTGTTTATTATTTCAGCCAAGGAAAGCAGAAGAAAAGAAGTAGTAACTGCCACCTTGTTGCGTCAACATGTTGCTTGGGATCATTTTGGTACCTCAGCTCGATGATAGCATAATTGAATAATTCATTCTAGTCAGAGAGTTGTTATCAAATAAACACAATTCAGGTTTTAGGCTGTCTTTGCTGCTGCCTTGTATGTTTGCTTCTTTTCTGTGGTGTTAAATGTTTTAGTTGTAGGCTTGTAGCTAGATTTTCTGCATGTCTTTTGGGTCGACTATTTTATTTTATTTTATTTTTTTATGAACACACGCAAAGAAATACATGGCAGTTTGAATACGCTGCAATTTTGATCTAGTTTTAACATGTTTTAAGGAATGATTTTAGTTCTTTGCATACACTAGAAGGTCCAATTAGCGGGTCAAAGTCATACATCAGATTGTGACAGCAAGATTATCATGATCCTGGTCTATTACAATGAGCTTTTTTAGAATTACAATCTATTCTATTACCAGATTTCTAGTAACATGATTCACAGAAGTTATACATGCACATTTTTTCAAATTTTCATTATCAATGGAACTTGAATGGTGCATGCGTTACATGTCAGAACATGATTCATATTTCTAAGAGTTAACTATTTATTTGACTCTCAAACTATGTTATTTGTGTCAATCAAATTCCTGAATTATATTTTGTGTCAATTTTGACTATCAGCTATACAATCTGACTCAATGTGGCCTTTTCGTCCAAATGCGCTATTAATTTTGACAAAAATTTTCACTTACACATCACACGAGTCATGGATTAGGGTAGTTAAGACAATACACGTGATGTGCACTTGCGACGGTTGATCAAAGTTAACAGCGAATTTAAACAGAAGGGAGATGGTATAGCTGTTTGTAGAATTCATGATTGACTATGGTATTTATGATCGATCATGAATTTTTCTCAATCAGTTATAATTTTACCTCTCAAAAGGTATAACCTTACGATTAAAATTAATAGTTTTTAGTTGGATACCAGATTTTTTTTCCCGAATACACTAGAATTTCCCTAAAATCTATCTAATATTACAGGCAGGAAGTTGAATTTTAAGCTCTGCAAAGTCCGAAGTAGACCCATAAAAGTCGAAGCACAAGGAAAAACTGCAAGTCCTTAGCAAAAACGTCATTCTTGAACAACACGAATCCTATTCTACTTTGTACTCTATCCTTTACCTAATTGCAATATAAAGCCACAAATTGGTACATTTGTCCAAAAAACGAATGTATATCTAAGTGTTCGTCATTAGACATTTTCATAAAGTAATATTTTTTCATATACAGAACAGAACACACAACTTAGAACCCTCATCAATTGGGCTACTTCTATCATTAATTGAAAAATAATATGCTAGTTAAACTTGAATACTAATTTTTAATAATAATCTTACATCTCAAAAAATGAGAAAAATAAATTTACATTACCATCTAAAAATAAAAGTCTTATTTAGAACGTCACATCCTATTGAATTTGTCTTAAATTTCTAACCACATATACATCTGTCTTCCAAAATCTGTGAATCATATATATTTTTTGACGGTCATCATTGTCTTCTAGATGCGTGAACTATATTCCCAAAAATCTTGTCATCTTCTCAAACGCGACCATGTCCTAAGCTAATAGGAGAAAAAATAATAATAATCCAATGAATGATACGATAAAACTAGAGTAGATCGAATTCAAATCTTATGAAAGACTCTAATATATGTATGGAGTAATTTGTTAAACAAAAAGTGATTCCAATTCCAAATATTGTATCGAATAATTTATGTTGCTTCTCAAAAGTAATTACCATTTCTATTCTCTTACAGCCAATTAAACCAAAAATTATTATAATAGTAAATAAACAATTACATTCTATAATATGTGTGTGTAAAGTCATTTTACCAACCAAGTCCCAGAATTATAATGTTCGAACAATTTTTTTTTTTTTTTTTCCGGGTAAGTGACCATATGTTGTTACTCCGTCTAAGTCGGTCTAGATAATTAATGGAATTGGAACAAACACACACACATATTATCTATATAATATTATAGTTAAAAAGTTAAATTATCAACGTATAAAAGTATAACAATGGTCAAATAATCCCATTAATCCACAAGTCATAATGAATTAAGTTAGTAAATAAGCTCAAAATTTTAAATTCAAATAGCATTGCTCATATATATATGTGTGTGTTCATAGGTGTATAATAGGAGTTCCATTGAAAAGAAAATTTTCTTTTTTAATTTCTCCCTTCTTGCTCTTATATATTTGACTTGGGATAATCCGTACTTAAAAACACAGTGCAACATAAGTGAAAAATAATATTTTTTTTTAGGGGGGGTGAAATTCAGTGTGAATGGTTTTGAAAAAGATGTTAGTGACCGTTGAATAAATTTATTTGAGACCGTTGGATAAATTTATTGAAATTTACGCTGTTTTATATTATCGATTTCTAATCTCTCTCCCCCTCTCTCTCTCGCTCTCACACACACACACATACACATAAATAACTCATCCAATCTGTCAACACACACTACCCATATTCAAAAGTTACAAGGAATGTGGTCTCAATATTCACCTTATGTTGCTCCTATTATTAGTGATGTCTAGACAATCAACTTCTCATTTGTCAATAAAGAAAAGAGTAACAAAATTTCATTTTCACCTATGCCAAAATTTCCATGGGTATGATGACAGCTTGAAGTATGAGTCTTTATGGCATAAGTGCGGGGTCCACTCAATACAATTGGCCATTTATAACTATAATTGTGAATACATTTTTTTTAATAGAATAAATTACACTTTGTTTCTCACATTGCCCCAGTTTCTCTACAAATGTGGCAAAATAAGTCACCACCTATCATATTTCTTACATTGAACTGTCACCTGTATTATTAGTTGCACATTGCCCCAGTTCCGCTACAAATATGGCAAGAAAGTATTTTATTTTGTCTTTCAAACTTTGTAATTTTGTTTTACTTTGTCCCAACACGTAGACATTTTTCATTCAAAGATAAAACAAATTTGTGTTTGGACAGTGTGAAACCAAATAGTTAAGGGGACAATGTAAAATCGATTTCATAATTAAGGGGTGTAAAAGTAATTTTTTCTTTTCAAATATTAATGTAATATATTTAATTATAAACTTTTATATTCACTTTTTGATGCGCAAAATTAATAATTAGGGACTTGTTTAATATCATTTTTGTTTGAGTAATGCTATTGAAATCTAAAAAATTGACATAACCTGCTGACCTAATGAGTAATGCTAATGAATGATTTAGTTTCAAAACTATATATATTTCACGTGGAAAGACTTAGAAATTTTAGACATGAATGGGTAAATGTTTTACACATGAATTGGTAAATGTTTCACTCATGTTTTGGTCCCCAGCATGAAATATGTGTTTATATTTCCTGGAATATGAAGTCCTATAGTACATCACTATAACATTTTCCATTGGTTTGCCAAAAATTCATCCAAAACTGACTATCCGAGATAGTTAACCCCACTTTGAGAGAGTGGAGGTCATTGGTTCGAATCTGCTATCTAAGAAATCGTAATAATAATAAATAAATAAATAAATAAGAGAATCAATGAATAAATCTTTTTACTCGTATGACTTGGATGTTTTGTAATTTTTGAAAAAGTGATTCGATTAATAGGATTTGGTATAATTTTTATGAGATTGATATTCAAATGTTTCTTCTTAGAACATAAGAAAATGTTTTTTTCTTCGTTTTACATGCACCTATAAATTGGTTGAATCATTATATAGGGGTAGAAGCTAAAAGAGACTCAAGTGGAAATAGAGTGAGAATTGCATAATAAGAAGTACTTCTCTAATAAATCAGAGATGATAAATTTTGCCCTAAAAGATTAGCATGACTTGTACGTAAGGATGATACACATAAATTGAAAAATATTCCTAAAAAAAATCAGATTTGAATCCATATTATACTTTGTTTGAGAAGACATGAAATTAGATTGAAAAAATAAAAAATAATCAAAACTGAACTCATATTTACCCATCTCTCTCTCTCTCTCTCTCTATAAAAGAAGTAAAAAAAAATAAAATTTGAAATTAAACTTTCTTTCTCCGATAAAAAAACAAAAGCAAATGTTGAAAACTCTTTCTCGACAACACTAGCATATATTTTTTTTGACTCTTTCTTTCTCTCACATAACAAATAAAACATAAATTAATTTTGTAAAAATTTTAATACTAAAAAACAAGCATCATTTAATATTTTCGTTTTAAATCTCAAATTACCCTTGAGCCGCCCCTGAGCTCTGCCCTCTAGAACCTGGGAATATTTTTATAGCAGCTAGGTCGTTTAGTGTGGAAGAATTTTTTTTTTTTAATTATAGCAGTAGGTTGTAACGTGAAAGAACATGAATAGAACATATTGTTAAATGAACATCATTTTCTATGGCCCGGCTACATAGTCTATGACAAACGAATTTAAATAATTTCGGCGACTTTATAAGAATTTAAAAGAATAATGTCGGCGACTTTAATGTTTGTTGCTTTATATTTGTTTAATTTAATAATCGTTTGGTAAAGCAAATTCAAGATCATAATTAATGATGGAAAGTATAATTTACCTAAGCAGTCATATTTGAAAATTGCGGGATCTATAACTTTGAAAATTTACCTAAGCACTTGATTTTTTTTTTTGATCGATAAAACTAAAAAGAAACATTCATATTTATGTAAATCAANATATTTAATTATAAACTTTTATATTCACTTTTTGATGCGCAAAATTAATAATTAGGGACTTGTTTAATATCATTTTTGTTTGAGTAATGCTATTGAAATCTAAAAAATTGACATAACCTGCTGACCTAATGAGTAATGCTAATGAATGATTTAGTTTCAAAACTATATATATTTCACGTGGAAAGACTTAGAAATTTTAGACATGAATGGGTAAATGTTTTACACATGAATTGGTAAATGTTTCACTCATGTTTTGGTCCCCAGCATGAAATATGTGTTTATATTTCCTGGAATATGAAGTCCTATAGTACATCACTATAACATTTTCCATTGGTTTGCCAAAAATTCATCCAAAACTGACTATCCGAGATAGTTAACCCCACTTTGAGAGAGTGGAGGTCATTGGTTCGAATCTGCTATCTAAGAAATCGTAATAATAATAAATAAATAAATAAATAAGAGAATCAATGAATAAATCTTTTTACTCGTATGACTTGGATGTTTTGTAATTTTTGAAAAAGTGATTCGATTAATAGGATTTGGTATAATTTTTATGAGATTGATATTCAAATG